GATCATGGCCCACAATACTCACCAATTGCACTGAATATTCTCTCAATTCCCTGCACCCTCATCTGTCCAGATTAATTCAGTTTTCCCAATGCCAATCACACAGTTGAGGTTTGACTGCACATCATGTAATTTAGGCCTTTCCCTGTTGCCTTGCTCTGGTATCATTTACTATATTATAGAGATAGGGCTTTGCTGGACTGTTTTAAACGTTCTAATGATGCCTCTAAATGTGGGACTGGACTTGTGAATTTAGTGGTGGGATGCCATCCGTTCAAATTCAGTCTGGATCAGTAGAGGCTAAAAGTCATTATTACCCTCTGACAGCTGTTCAGTAGAATGAGTTTGGTGGGTCTCAACTCTTAGTCAATTTCCAATGAATAAGTGTCCCTCCATTACAAGACCCTGTCTCAGAATGGACACGAATTGGCCTTTTCTTAGCAGTCTCAAGAGAGAGAAAGAGACCTCCAGCCCCTGTAGCTGTTTATCTATCACCTTTCACCAACGCTTACATTCATCAGGATATTTTTTTAAGGCTTCTGCTCTCCATCCTCTTTTCACGTGCAAACGCCTTCATCTCCTGCACTGAGGTGCATGCCTGGTTTAAGGCCTAGGCCTTTTCCCACTAACATCAAGAGCAAAACTCCCCTGGACTTCAGTAGGGCCAAAGCAAGTCCTTACTAATTGATGCATCCCTCGCATTTTGCTCGGAGTTCTGTCAGGGGATGGAAAGAGACAGCCAGCCTTCTTCAGAAGCAGCATGTGGCAGCCGGGAGTGAAAAGGTCACAGCATGCTGCAGGAAACTGAAATACCCACCCACTGGCTGAGTGGAGGGACAGCACAGCATGGGTGCGAAGCCCTTAATAATAACTATACTTAGAGACACTTCTATAGCATGTTCCGGGCCCAAGTCTGTGTTGGGGAGGTGCAGCAGAGAGGGAGCAGCTCAGAAGAGGAGTGGCTTTAAGCCACCTTTTCTTCTGCAAGATTTCAGGTAGCCCCATGGGTCAGTGCAGCTCCTGGCATAAGTAATTCTAATTCACAGTATCTGCAGCCCACAACTGCCAGAGCACAGAGCGCTTCTCCACTTCCCCTGCTGTACCCAGCACACTCCCTTTGAAGTCTCTGGCACTAGGCGGGATGGGAGGCCGAGGGAGGCCTGCCTGTGCAACCCTTGGCTCATCTCGGTGGGAGGTAGAACTTTCCCAGGGGCTGGTCCAAGACCATCTCACACCTCCCCTCTTTCTGCTCCCGGGACAAGGCGTGTTTCTTTGACCCGCCTTCTCTAGCATGAACCCAGAGCAATGTGTCTATTTTCCAAACAGAACCTAACCCAGCCACAATATGACACTCCGCTGCACACGCTTCTGCCCCGGGACAAGGCAGTGAGAGGAAAGGCCACGTGATGCATGTGTGGGCACGTTGCTAAATGAAGTAACTGGAAGGCGCTCGGATACTACAGTGATGAGCCGTAAAAGAACCTCTATAGCATAGAAGAGAATAGAGCAAAAGCGTAGTTCCTCGGGAGAAGTGAAGTCATGTTGTTTATTGCTGGTGGCTTGTCCCCTTTATTCAAACTCAGTGCAGAATGCAGTGGTATTTTTTAAAGTGAATCAACCCATTCCCAGCACGCGCACACAGACAGACACACACGGGTTAAAACCTTTCCATTGTCCTTTTTAACCCTTCAAGTCTGGAGTCTCCCACACTGCAATATTTCCTACGGCCCCCAACTTTTCCCTCAACATATCCCATCAGTTTCCAAACAGATCCAGACAACGGGACCCTCTACATCTAACATCAGTATCTTTAGCAAGTTCATCAGGCCTCACGACAATGAATGAGCTGCTCTGGGTTTGACTAAAACAGCTCCAAAGACACAGGGCTGGATTCAGACCATGCATAAGCAAGCCCAGGACCATTGACTTCCATGGAGCTTGCACTCATTTACCCAAACTGAACTTGGCCCAATAAATTCCAGTGTGACAGGGCTTAAAGCCTAAACCTCTAATCCTGGCTCTGCCACTGACTCTTCCTGTGGCCTTAGGCAAGTCTCTGTGCCTCAGTTTCTCCCTTGGAGAAAGGTACCATTGTCCCCCTATCTAATTCACAGGGGTGTTGTGAGGCTATTTTAGATACTGTTTTCTGCATCCGACTATGAAAGGGGCTAGTATAACCTACTGGTTCAGTGACCTACATACAAGGATAAGAGCCTACTGTTGCTGCCAGTTAATAGCTTTACTCCTTTAGCACAAGTGGTAGAATTCTGTGCATTTAGTCCAGAGGGTCTTGGGCTCAATCCCCAGTGATGACCCATGTGGTGGATGGGAAGTCATTACAGCGGGTGACTCATACACACATAAAGACTTGGGTACCCAGTACAGGTTGCCCTGAAAGTCCCGATGTGACAAGGACAGTGATCAATTAGTCTCCGTGCTCAAGTGAGGACAGGACAAGAAGGGATCGGCTTGACTTGCAGCAAGGGAGATTTAGGTTAGATATTAAGAAACACTTTCTAACTCCCAGGGTAGTAAAGCTCTGGACTAGGCTTCCAAGGGAGGTTGTAGAATCCCCATCACTGGTAGGTCTTAAGAACAGGTTGGACAAACCCCTGTCAGGGATCGCCTAGGGCTACTTAACCCTGCCTGAGCGCGGAGAGATGGGTTAGATGACTTCTTCAGATTCCTTCCAGCCCAACATTTCTATGATTCTAGGTACAAGAGAATGGTACCAATCACTGTGAGATATAAAAGGGAAACTTACTGGAGGGGAGGAAAGAGCTTTTCCGCCACAGAGAAGACTTGTGGATGGGCATTTTCTAAAGATGGAGCTGAATCCTACAGTCCTCGCTCAGGCAGAACTCCAAGAGACAGCAGTGGCAGCGAAGCCTCAGCAAAAGTCTGCAGGACTCCTCTCTCGTGGGGGCACAGGCATGACTGGAAATTCACTATAACAGCTTCAAAAGTTCAAAGCTGAAAGGTCAAAATATGGGCCACAGCCAAGGCCAGATTTGCAAAAGAGCCCATCACTCAGTCATCAGGGCCAGCTTTTCAGCAGCCCCCTACTCCGACCCTCCACACCCAACATGCTGGGAACTTCAGAGGATCTGTCCCCCGATCACCAGTGCAGGAGTCTGTCTCCTTCCATCTCATCACTTGCCTACAATCCCAAAGGTGACAGCAAACAAGGAAATAAAACAGGTGGCACTTTCTGTGAGTCATTGAGAAATCGAGCAAGCAACCCGGTTACACCATTTCAGCAGCATCGGGATGAGTGATAAGACTTGAATTACCTCATGTCAAAAGAGAGAGTGTGGTGTGCAGGGGTGTTTGGTGTGCGGCTGAATGTTCCAGGTACAGCCTAAGAGCGCAGAGTTGTGTGTCTTAGAGGGGGCCCCAGAGAAGGAAGCTGAGAGAGAATTAGTGGGAGTACAGGAATGTGTCCTTTGTAATATTCCACTGTAATATTTTATGGTTGCTGGCAGGACAACAGGTGCCGTTGAGGACTGGCAAAGAAAGGATTAACATTAGTGTGTCTGCTGCTGCTTCTGGCATCAGTGCCAAAGGCAAATGCTGTGAACACAGCACAGACCACACTGAAAATGATTGCCCTTGAGGCTCTTGCACCTGATCTCCTATTTCCCCCTTTCAGATGTACACCCACCTACCTTGCATCACTCTCTCCAACCCGCGAACCTGTTCCACAGGAATCAGAGCTACTTCTAGAGGCATATACAACGCACGCCATCCCATAGGGACTTCGCTCTCCAGACCCCCACGATGCAGGAAGGAGGGGAGAAACAGATGCTTCCCCTGGGAGCTAATCTAGAAAAGCCCTGATCTCTCCTATCCCATCTGAATCCAGATGACAAGAGCCCTCCACCCAAAAGGCAGCACTCAGATAGTGGGTGATTAGAAAGATAGATAGATCACCTTCACCTGTCACTAAACTTTCTGATCACCCCCACTTAAATTCCCATAACCCGAAGCCCCAGCTCGGAGTGTATTATGGAAGCCTGCCTGTCCATGCAGAACCCCATAAAACCTTGATGCTGTCCCAAGCCTCGCCAGCCAGGCTGGTTCTTGCTTCTCAGCTGTTCGCTCCTGTGTCTCACTCATTCACTTACAAGCCATTTTCTCTCCTGTGCCAATCCCAGCCTGTTCCTGGGCCCAGCTGTGAGTGTACACAGACACACCCATCCACTTTCTCTCTCTCCCCATGCTCTGCCCTGGATTCTTCTGATGCTTCCATGTGTCCCATCCATAGGTGACACAGAGGCCCCCTGAGTTTGAGCCGCTGGACCCAGGGATCGGGTTAGCCAGGAGCTCTTCCACAGTGGAGCTATAATCCTTGTCGTCCCACGCCTGCTGCGAAGACACACCTCTGGGCCATCTGCCAGGCCTTCACCTTCCACCTGCCCGCCACCCCAGGTGACACATACATAACTATATGGACTCACCTAAACAGCCAGATCCTCCCATCTTCCCTGATTGGGGGGGACGCGGGGACACAGCTCTCCAGATCACCCACATTACTGCAGACTGCCCTGGGGTGCCTGAGGGTACCCCCAGATCCTTCCTATTATTGCAGGGTGCAGGGGGGAGCCCATTTAGGGAATAGCCCTCCCCCCCTTTTCTCTCTCCTCCCTCCCCCCCCATTGCTGACTGCAGAGGAGACAGTTTGATGGGGGGAGAAGGGGGGAGGAATCACCCTAGGTCCCGCCATTATTTCTGTGTGGTGGGTGCAGGGGAGGACCTTGATTTTCGCTACAAGCCCCCCTCATTATTGCAAGGCTGTGGGGGTGGGGGCAGATTCTCTAGTATTGCGGGGTGGGGGGAACCCCCGATTCCCCCTCTTAGTGCAGGCTGCCCGGTGGGGGGGAGAGTTCTCCCTAGATGGTCTAGTAGACAGGGGAGCCCAGCGCCCCAGGACTGCGTCCCCCGCTACACCCTTCCTACAGCTCCCAGGGGGCGCGGCTCTGCTTCCCCCCCACCCCGCGGTGCATGGGGCGGAGCGGCCCGGCCGAGCTCTCTGTGCGGCGGGATGCAGCGGCCCGAGGCCCGGCCACGTCAGCACCCCGAGGGGGCTGCCCCGGGGGGCGGAGGCGGCGGGGACCGGACAGCTGCAGCAGCCGCCGCGGGAGCCATGGACCCCACGAGGCTGCTGGTACGGTGGGGAGCTGCGGGGAAGGGGGCGCGGGCGGCTCCCCTGCCCCGGGGTTCGGGGGGCGCCGCCGCGATGCCAACTCGCCAACTTCCCGGCCGCCGGGCAAAACTTTCTGCGCTCGGAGTTCCGGGGGCGGAGCCGGGGGACCCCCGGGGAAGAGCCAAGGGGGTGCAGGGGGAGTCCCCGGTGGGGGGAGTCCCAGGAGGCAGAGCCCCTGGGGCCGAAGAGATGGGGGGACAGCGCTGGGGAGAAGGGGCAGTGCCAGGGGGCTGGAGGGGAGTCTACTGCAGCAGCTGTTCTCAGTTCTGGTTCTGGGGCCAGGTCCCTGTGAACCGTCCCAGCCCAGGTTCTCAGGCCAGGCCCCTCTCTCAGCTCTGGTTCTGGGGCCAGGTCCCTGTGAACCGTCCCAGTCCAGGTTCTGGGGCCAGGCCCCTGAACCGTCCCAGCTCAGGTTCTGGGGCCAGGTCCCTGTGAACCGTCCCAGTCCAGGTTCTGGGGCCAGGTCCCTGTGAACTGTCCCAGTCCAGATTCTCGGGCCAGGCCCCTCTCTCAGTTCTGGTTCTGGGGCCAGGTCCCTGTGAACTGTCCCAGTCCCGGTTCTCGGGCCAGGCCCCTCTCTCAGCTCTGGTTCTGGTGCCAGTGGGGTGATCAGACAGCAAGTGTGAAAAATCGGGACAAGGGGTGCTGGGTAATAGGCACCTATATAGGAAAAGGACCCCAAAATCGGGATATCTGGTCACCCTAAGTGCCAGGTCCCTGTGAATTGTCCCAGCCCAGGTTCTGGGGCCAGGCCCCTCTCTCAGCTCTGGTTCTGGGGCCAGGTCCCTGTGAACCGTTCCTGTCCAGGTTCTGGGGCCAGGCCCCTCTCTCAGCTCTGGTTATGGGGCCAGGTCCCTGTGAACCGTTCCTGTCCAGGTTCTGGGGCCAGGCCCCTCTCTCAGCTCTGGTTCTGAGGCCAGGTCCCTGTGAACCGTCCCAGTCCAGGTTCTTGGGCCAGGTCCCTGTGAACCGTCTCAACCCGGGTTCTGGGGCAGGCCCATCTCAGTCCTCTCGGCCCAGGTTCTGTGGTACACTTGGACTTGGACTCTGGAGCAGTCAGTGCATGACAGAACTTGGGTTTGGATGGACCCTTTCGCAGACCACCCCTAGCCCTCAAATCCCCTCTGGCCCTGGGACTGGGGATCCGGCGTGGAGCGGGGCCTTTGGGTTCACAGGGATGGACGTGAATCAGAACAAGGCCAGGCGCAGAGAGTGCCAGGCTCTCTGGGCGCTTTCAGTGGGAGGAAACAGTGCTGTGGCCCCATTTCAGCCTCAAGGAGTCACTGAGGGGGACAACAGGGAGAGGCGTCGCAGACCCAGTCCTGGGGCATGGGAGGCACCTGGGTTCTGGACACACCTTGGGGGCTGCTGGATGCAGCCTCTGGCTTCACCCTGTCCTTGTGTCAGTTTCAGGAGCCTTCCCTCTACACAGTCAAGGCCATATTCATCTTGGACAATGATGGACAGCGACTCTTAGCCAAGGTAAATGCCACCCACCTGCCCTAGAAGAAAACCCTAACCCCAGGTCTCTGGCCTCCCCGTGAGGTGGGGAAGACGCTCCTGTGAGGCGAGCAGCAAAGCCAGGGGCATCATGGCTTTATGGAGGCCGCTGCCCTTCCATGGCAGTTCTAGACAAGGTTAATTTCTCTTTTGCAGCAGCCTGGAATGCTTTTAGGAGATGTATAAAGCTACCTGGGCAAAAGTTACATCCTTGCCCATATGGGCCAGCATAGAGGGCACCCATCAGGACTCCTGGGTTCTTTTCTTGGCACTGTGTGGCATTAGGCAAGTCATTTCCCCTCTCCGTGCCTCAGTTTCTCCCATCTGTAAAATGGGGGTGATGACACTCGCCCTGCTCTCAGAAGCGCTTTGCTAACTCTAGCTGGGAATCATGCTAAAGCACAGATCCAGTTGCAGGATTGGGTCCTGTGATTATAATGTTCCCATGCTCATCTCCCAGCACCTGGAAGACTGCCACTGACCTGGGCCAGGAGACCTCCTCAAAACACACTTCCTCCATGAGGCCTGTGTGCCCTGTAGGTACTTGCTAGATAAGGCAGCAACCTAATGAGCCTACAAGGCCTGTAAGACAATAGCTTAGCAGCTAACCCTAGATCGTAAGTTAGCACAAGAGAGAATGCTGCTGTAATGACTGAACTGCTGACAGGTAACCACAAGATGCTGGTCTATAGCAGTTTGGGATATTTTACATTAGGAACATCAGCAGATGTTTGACCACAAGAATGCCATGGTAACTAATTGACAGATATGCTAATAAACTTCAGTTAATCTGACTAGTAACCTATGGGAGAAAGGGCACCCCAACAGTAGCAGGATGAGGAAATACAAACAAGGAAAAGGGGAGTATGCCTTAGGCATAGGGATGTCATCAACTGGCCTGTGTGCCTTGGAAGATGCCAGGTTGACAACCACTGGTGATGATGATGATGGTGAGGAGGAGGATGACTTACGCTTTGGGTCCTTTTGCAAGGGATGGCGTGAGTATATGGACGCTCAGGTGCACATTCTGTGTTGTCTCTATCTACCTTGCTGGGTTGGAGTGTTTGTAACTTTGCTAACCGGGTTAACAAAACTATTGCAAATTCAAAAGTGTGAGGGTGAGCGTTGCAGTTGCACATGTCGCGGTTCCCAACTAAACTTTAATTTTAATAATACTGGGCATGATCTTGGGATAAGAACCTACTAAACCTCATAGTGTAATCAATGTAATTAATACACAATAATAGATCAGGCAACACCTATATTCAGTTAAGTGTTAACATGCGCATGCACACGCATACACACACACACACACATGCAAATCATGGAACTAACATGGCAGGAAGCAAACAAAACCCATCAGTCACTTGCTTTGCTGTATCCATTCCTCCCAGCCTTTGTCTGTTCAAATTATGAGCCTTGTCTTTGTAGCTGTCTGTAAGACACCTGGCAATTTCCTCATTTTAACAGCATTTGCCGTTTTAAATGTTCACCCCAGACAGAATGGTATTTTCTGATACCTCCGCTGAGTGGGCCGGGACTGCGTTATATACTGGACTCGCTGGGTGTTGGGCTAGTTGATCTTTATAATTTCTTGCATCTGTGATTGTTATGGAAGCTCCTGGGGTAATGGACATTGATTGCAACTTCTTGATTATTATTACTGGTATCATGGTAGCATCTATAAGCCCCAGTCATGGATGAGGAGTTGGGGAGGGGGGAGCTAAGTGCTGGACAAGCACAGAACAAAAAAACAATCCCTGCCCCAAAGAGCTTCCAATCTAAGTCTATGAGAGACAGACCAATGCAGGGAGCACATGGAAATAACACAGTACTGGTGGGCATGATGAGCAGCGATATCATCACGCCTATCTGATGTCCAGGTTTTGGGGGCACCACTGCCCAGGCAAGTTTTAAGGAAAGAATTTGAAGAGGGACAATGAAGTGGCCTTGACTTGCTGAGATCAACAGTGATCCCAAATCTATTTAAGCAATGATTTCCCAGCCACTCCAAACTGTTCTTTAACATGCCTGTCAGTATAGATAGGGGTCTCTGTACTGATTCTGTGTCCATGATTGGTTCCATCTAGCCAAGCTCTCCTTCCTTTTTCTGCCTGTCCCATTGGCTGGTCCCAAGGCTGCTCTAACTCCTTTGTTCCCATCCCCTGCAGTACTACGATGACACCTTTCCATCCACGAAAGAACAGAAGACCTTTGAGAGGAGCGTTTTCAATAAAACCCACAAAACTGATAGTAAGTAGCTGAGTTTTGGGAAGGGGAGCAGAAGATGGAGAGGAGGGTTTTCCTGTGTGTTTCTTCAGGCCACTGGCTGTTTATATTGCTGGGTTATATGAAGTTTGCCAGCAGTTGTGCATCCCTTGGGTTGTGTGATGACATCTTTCTCCCATGGGCACTGCAGTCCAGGGAGGGGTCCCGATATTGACGATAACACCATGGAGGCGATCATCTCAAATCGCTCCAAAGATAGCGCGAGGACGCTGGCAAGGCCTGTACAACATCTCACATCCGCACACACCCGCTGGCCCAGGAGGTTGACAAGCGGAGCTTGCAACACATGAGATGAGGTCTTTCGCTCAGCCCTGTGCCGTTTACGACACTGCGTCCAAGGGTGGGTAGGAAGCTGTAAGACGTGGAGAGGTTTTAGGAGTCCCAGAATGCACTGGGGCCGTCACAGTCACATGCTGGCAAATCAGAGAACCAGCATTGCCATGCTGGGCACACTGGGCTGTTGATGGCGAAAGGAGGCAACCAGGAATTTTAAGCATTTGATGGCCCTCCCATGGTGTGGATGCGTTGCCTGCTGCCCTGCCATAGGGGTGAGGCCAGGTTTCCCGTCCCATCTCCCCGTCTGGACGGCCTGTTCTTACGTTACAGAGATCTGTGCTCAGCAACAGCCTAACGCTGCCCCCTCTTCTCCTTCCCTCCCGTTGTGTCAGGTGAGATCGCCTTTCTGGAGGGGCTGACCATTGTCTATAAAAGCAGCATTGACCTCTTTTTCTACGTGGTGGGGAGTTCCCAGGAAAATGAGGTAACTCCCTGGGGCCTGCTCCTCCCAGAGGATAACAGAGCAGGCGGTCCCGCTCCATGCTGGGAGTTTCTTCTCTTTCCCCACTCACCCTGTCGTGTGGGAGAGAGGCGCTCCGTTCCCACTCACCAGGCCCCGCACACAGACAGCCCTTCATGTCCTCAGGCCCCGCCCCAGCTCTGTCTGCTCTTGCTCTGCCCCACAGGAGTTTGAGGAGGGATTTGTCTCCTCTTCCCTGATGTGCCCAGGTCCCGTTGCATGAGCATATTCCTAGGAGACCCGTGGATGCTGCAGCCATGGCTTTCTGTCCAGCTGCCAGTAGTAGGATTGGTGTCCGTCAGGCACCTCGAGACCCAGGGGCTGCTGGCAGAGCAAGCATGGGAAGGAGGTTCCTGTGGGCAGGAAGGCAGCTCTGCACCTGGTTGACCCATGTCTCCTTCTCCTCCTTTAGCTGATGCTAGTGGCAGTTCTCACCTGTCTCTTCGACTCCCTCAATCACATGTTACGGTGAGTACGTGGTCACGGCCAGCGGTCCCGATCCCATCTAGCGAGATTGCCCAGGGCCAGGTTCCAGGGTCCCAAACTGGCTCTAATAACATCAGCGCTTGAGCCTTGCCCCAGACCCTTCCACCCAAGGGTCTCAAAGCCCTTTACCCACATGAAGGAATCAAGCCTCATAGCCTGAAAACCTGGAGTGAAGTGCCTAACACACCCTGGGCGCTAGCAGAATATCCCAATAGCAGCCCTCTGTGGGGTGGCTGCTGTGCTCTCCATTTTACAGATGGGGAAACTGAGGTGCAGAGAGGGAAAGTGACTCACTGAAGGTCACCCAGAGACTCAGTGGCGATGCCCAGGAGTCCTGACTCCTATTCCATGCTGTAACCACTAGACTGCACCTGCTCTTGTGGCTGGAAGGGAACCCAGGAGTCCTGGCTCCCAGCTGATTGCTCTCAGCACGAGACTCCCGTATGCTAGGCATGCCGTAGAGCTGGAGACCAGTTCCCGCTGCAGGGCCTCAGAATGAGACAGCGGGTGTCACCCTTCCCCCGCAGATGAGGGCCTCTGGCAGCTGGCATTACTTGGCTGGGAGTCGGGGGAGGTCTCTGCAGCTGTGTTGGGACTCAGAGCTCCGGAGCAGCGCCAGGTCTGGGGGCTGGTTGTATGGAGCATCCCAAGCTCTCACCAGCTCATACTGTCTTGCCCTCAGGAAGAATGTAGAGAAGCGCTCCCTGCTGGACAACCTGGACGGGGTGTTCCTTGTGGTGGATGAGATCGTCGACGGGGGGTGAGGCGCCATGTGCAGTTGCTCTCTGGGGCTTCGCTTGGAGCTGGGGCGGGGAAGAAAGGGAGAGGGCAGACGGGCTTCCCAGTACAGTGCTGGGTGTGGGACGGCTGCTGGCTCGGAGCGGGAATCTTCTGTCTCTGGGTCTCCAGTTCAAATCTAGCCATGTCGCTAGTAACCCAAAGCCTTTACCATCTGGTGGCTGTTAATGGCCAACGTGAACTGAGTTTGGCAAGTCTCTGTCCCGCCCCCTGTGGACCAACCACAGCCACCATCAGCGCTAGCCGACCCCTTTGTCAGCCGAGTACTGAATAGGCCGAGACCACGGAATTTCACTCCCACTGCTAACACCACAACCCGGTTCTTACATCGCGCACCTTGCTATCCAGAGATCTCAAAGCGCTTTGCTAAACCAACCCCATTTTACAGATGGGGAAACTGAGACACAGAGAGGGGAAAGTGACCTGCCTATGGCCACTCAGCAGGCCAGGGCCAGAGCTGGGAATTGAACCCACATCTCCTGAGTCCCAGTCCAATGCCCTATCAGAGCTGAGGTTTGCTGGTGGGGAGGGGGGAAAAGCTTGCCCTGCTAGGGCCTATGCTGTACCCATTCCTGGGGCAAGGAGAGGGGGTCAGTTTCTATGGCTGTCCATCTGGCCCCTTGCCCCAGCTCAGAGCTCATGTCCCATTTTATGGCAACGGGGAGTAAATGCACCATGAAAGTGCCCTTAAGAGAGCTGTGATCTGACTGGAAAATCCCATTTCTCCCCCTGGTCATAGCGTGATTCTGGAGAGCGATCCTCAACAAGTGATCCAGAAGGTGAACTTCAGGGTGAGTGCTTCCCGCTGCTCCCCTTCATTTCTCTGCCCTTCGAGCCCTCTGCTCTAATCTCCCTCTTTAACTCTCTCCACCCCAGACGGTCTCGGAGCCTGCGGCATACGGGTTTGTTCTCTTTGATTACATCGCCAGTAACTCAGAGCAGAGTGAATCCGTGCCTGCCAACGGCGGTAAATAGGCAGCGGCCAACTGGGAAGCAGGTGTGAGGTCACTTCTTTCTAAGCATGTCACATGTGGCCCTGCTACATGGCCATGGGGAGCTCTGGTGGGCTAGCTGGATAGGTCACACCCTCTTCTGCATGCCATGGGTGACTTTGGAGTGGCAGTCAGGCTTGGACAGATTCTGTTTTCATTAGTAATCATTATTCATTGTCAGTTTCTGCCTCCATCCAAAAATCTTTAACAAACAAAACTGACACGGAGGGAGCGGGAAGGGATCGATTTTCACACGGATCCGGCACCCAACCGCTCCCATTTCATAGAATCATAGAATATCAGGGTTGGAAGGGACCTCAGGAGGTCATCTAAACCAACCCCCTGCTCAAAGCAGGGCCAATCCTCAACTAAATCATCCCAGCCAGGGCTTTGTCAAGCCTGACCTTAAAAACCTCAAAGGATGGAGATTCCCTAGGTAACGCATTCCAGTGCTTCACCACCCTCCTAGGCATCTAAACAGAGCTGCTGGGCTCTGAGCACTTTTTAAAATGTTCCCAGTAGGACACCATGCTCTCATAGAGAACTAGAGTCTCCCGCTGCCTTCAAGTGTATCCGACAGGTATGACGATGGAATATTAACGACGGGACCTGATTTTTATCAACAAACCTACTGCAAATCTCAAGTGTTGCTAGATTTTGACAAGCTAGCAAGGAGCATCCATGTTCATTTCCCGCCAGGACAGAGTTTGTTGATAAAAATATTGTAAAAAAACCAAAGTTCTCCGAAATAAACATCCATCGCCTTCAAAACGGATTGAAGCTAATTGGATCGTTCCAAGCCTGGAGTAGCCATGTGTGCTTGCTTCTGGGGTTATCCCATTTGAACCCTGGGCTCAAGGAGAGATCTAAATCACAGTCTGAGCAACGCTAACAGAGTGAGAATTTTGCTGTCTGCTCAGGAGTTTTCGGCAATACCAATTTGTACTGAGGTTGTACAAAGTTCATGTCAAGGCGCAGCTGGGTCCCCAGCCTTGTGGGGTTACGGTGTAACAACTCTGCCCATGACGCGATTATCTGGTCATTACCAGCTTCTGGCATGGTTGTCCTGCTGTGGAGGTTGGATGATTTAACTGAGTAGGTGTAATCAAATTAACCAGTTGTCCTGCCTCCCAGGCTTCTGGCTGGGAGGATATCCCAGAGCACACTGCATGGGCAGTCCTGTGCACCAACAGCTAAGGCATTGTGGGATAGCCAACAGTTTCCCAGCATGCACTGTTGTATAGTAGGGCTGGAAAATCCAGCATGGTTGACACAGGGCACCCCGGGGGAAATGGTGCTCCATGAACACACTGAGTCATGTTAGCTGTGTGCTGTCTGCTGGGCACGTCCAGAGCTACGCTTGTCATGCTTGTACCAAGGCCTAAGAGAAGCAGAACAATCCGAAGCAAGACTTGCCTCTTCCACAGCAGCTGATCTGTGCTGATGTAATGTGAGCCCAGAGCTGCCCGGGCATGTCATTAGCCAGAGTGGAGGCGGTTGTTCTATTTGAGAACAGAGTAAACAAATACAGCGGACATGCAAGCCACATAGGCGTTTCCTAATCCAGCTCCCCCCAAGATTGTTGGAAACAGCTGTGACGGGAGGCACTGCTATGTCCGGCGCGCTCTGTGTTTGCGTAACACAAGGCCTGGGCCGATAGCAGCGTGGCCACAGGCAGCTGGGAAGGAGAATGGCATTCCACCGCCATGATGTCATCCCAAGGGGTTCCAGGGGGCTGAGCAGTGGGTTGCAGGGCAGCATGGACAGCTGAGCGAGCCTTCCTCATGGGTTCTCTTGCACTGCGCATGTGTGTGGGCCAATGAGAATAACCATCGTAATGTCGTGCCCGGTTCCGTCTGAGGATCCCAAAGAGCTTCATCTTATAAAAATCCCATAAGGCAGGGGAGGGCTCTGCTGGATTCACTCCTCCCATGGCTGAAATGCAGCCACCTCTGGGGTGGAATGTGGCAGCTGTTTTACCAGCTGCCCAGCACAACAGGAAGTGAAGCTGGTTTCATTCAGATGAACCTACAGAGGGAATTTAGATGGGCAGGATGCGATCACCTGACTGGGAGCATGGCCAGGACGTTGGGGTTAATGCCCCTAAGTGCCTACGGGTCTTTAATGCTGGCAAACAGTCATAATGACCTCAGGTTTGTGTGTCGCCCCAAATCTGACCCTCCAGAGAACAGCTCACCCTAGCCTCAGGCATTGGCTTTAGGGGCTTGCTAAGGAATGAGGCAACCAAGTCCCTATAAGTGCTTTTGAAAAATCTCACCAGGTATTTCATACAGGGTCCCCCATCCAAGGGCTGAGCCAGCCTGCATCCACCTAGCTTCCTTGTAGTGCTGGGATCCCAAAGCAGGTGGCCTGGCTGTAGGTGAAGGTGCATGCAGACAAGCTAGCACCCGTGGGGAGTGGTGCAGAGACACAGCACCCTAGCAGAGGCTGAAAGCAGGTGCTAAGCAAGGCCATGCCCCAGTGGGATTCCCCATCACATCTAGTGAAGGGGAACTTGCCCTCCAGCCTGTGTGATCTCTCTCCCCGCCCCCATGCATACAGCCCACATGCACTATCTCCGAGCCACGGCTGCCAGCCTGCACCTCCTGCCAAGCCAAGGCAAGAGGCTGCAGCTCAGAAAGGCGCAGCCTGGGGAGAGCCAGGGAAGCCGCAGGTTGGTTTCTGCGCCTCCCTTCGGGCCACCCCAGGTTAGCTCCCACTCTGTCTCCTGGCCATCGTCCCCTGACGATGAAATTGTCCGAGCTCCTCTGATCTGCTCCCCCCATGTACCCTGTCTGATCCAGCACCCCAGCCCTGCACTCGCTCCCATTCCCTTCCCCCCCATCCATCTGCCTCCTTAAACCTCCCTGTCCTTTCCCTTCCTTTAGGTGGACGACAGCCCTCTGTCTGAGCAAAGCGTCGCCCAGGTAAGGGTCCCAGGACTCCCCTTTCCTCTCTGGGGGCTGGCGTGGGCGGGCAGCGCCTGGGCAGTGGAGGAGGCCTGGTGAAGTGGCCTGCCCCTGGGGCACCAGCATGGAGGAGATGGACACCATGCGCTGCAGGGATCAGCTCCTGAGCACACTGTGCTAGCCATTGGGAGCACCCAAGCAAGGCTGTGTGACACAAGGAGGAGTAGTGGGTATTCTATAGTCCCAGTCCCTGGGGGCACATGGACCCTTGGAGGGGTTCTTCTACCCCTTGAGGCTGTCCGCATGGATGGGTTGGTCAGAATCCCCCCCGCTGGCCCCTCCCCCACGGCACCTGTAGCATCAATACAGCACCTCCCAACATTGAGAGCTGTCAGCCTTTAAATCACCAGGTCCCACTCACAACAGTGTGTCAATATCCCTTCCGTGGCCAAGGACGCTTCAGAGCCCCCCCGGGATGTGTATCTTTATCTCCATTTAAAGACCTTGTGGCACAGAGAGGTGAAGTGAATTGGCCAAGTTCACACCGCGTGTCAAACACAGGAGAGGGAACTCACCAGTCTTGATTTATAATCTTCTGCTCTAACCCCAACCTCCCTCTCTAGAATAGAACCCAGGTGTCCTGACTCCCAGTCACCAGACCACACTCCCCTTCCCAAGCCAAGCACAAAACCCAGGGTTCCTGGCTCCCAATTCCCCCTGCTCTCACCACATGGCATCACTTTGGGGTCGGGGGGAGGTCGGGAAAACCTTGGAATAGAAATATGCTATGCCTGGAACTCACGTGCCTCTAGCAGGCTTTGCTCTGCTGGGTCCAGCCTTGTAACAACACGCCTGAGCGCCCACAGCAGGTTTGAGAGTCATCAGACCAAGCCCCTGGCTCCACCTGGTTCCTCAGAATGGGGCAAGGTGAGTGGGTGGCTTTAGGACGGGGTGTCCCTCTCTGGGCAGGTTCCTTACATCCCATACTGGGCAGGGGGATGGGCGGCTCTCCAGGCAGCTGGAAAGGCAGGGTCTGCGTGGGGAGTATCAGCGGGAACCTTGCAGTGCCCCTCATGCGCTCTCTCCTTGCAGGTCTTTCTGTCTAGACTAATCCTGTCAGCATGAGCCCTGCGGCCGAGTCCGTGTCTAACCCAGCACTAACCACCTTCTCACACCAGGCAGAGTAAGTGACTCCCACAGCTGGGGCCCATCTCTGCACATGCCTCTGTTGCCTGTGGCTGCAGCACCCATGTCACTTCACTTAACCCCTTCCTCCCCTCCCCTCCAAGGAACCAGCTGGAAAAAACCTCCTTGCCCTGGTGTCTGCTCTGTATCCACGGTGCAGCCAGTGCTTGCCGCCACCTGGTGTACCCACTCACCTCTGTGCATGGCTGGCATCATACCTCTCCTAGGGAACTGCCTCTCTCTTCTGTCCTAATTCCCCTCGCCCCAGGTGGTTTAGCATGTTTCCACCCATAGACACGCTCAGCTCTGCAAATCGCCAGGTGGTCAGGACGGCTGGATGGAGAAACCCATTTGAGATTGAGGGCGGGGTGGCTAAAAATGACATTAAACCGCGACTATAGTTACCCGGGTTCTTTGACAGTACATGGTCACCTGTTGTAACGGTCCCAACCACCGGTTTCCCTTTGCTGGCTGCCAAACACACACTGTGGTATGTAATTGGCATGTGTATCCAGGGTGATCACAGCTTGGAGTCCCCGGTCAGGTGGACGGGTCTAAAGCCAGTTCCCATCAGCACTGATGTCTTTGCTCCTTGGAAAAATCTACCCTCTACGTTGGATCAGGAACTGTATTTGGTGGACAGGTGCAAGACCTGGTTTTAAACATCAGTTCCAGCCAGCATTTCCCCTGAGCTGCGATATGAAGACCCCGATGTGAAGGCCTCCTGGATCCAAGGATGTTCAAACCAGGGGTTCTTTCTAGGATCCAGCTTTAGCCCCAGCAAACTCTGTTGATGAGGTGACACCTGCTGATTGGTGCTTAGTGTCCAGGATGCTGACTGAGGCTAAAATGGGGTTCCCGGACACACCGAATTCCTGGATTCAGAGGAACAGCCATGTTAGTCTGTATTCGCAAAAAGAAAAGGAGTACTTGTGGCACCTTAGAGACTAACCAATTTATTTGAGCATGAGCTTTCGTGAGCTACAGCTCACTTCATCAGATGTTTACCGTGGAATGGAGTTTGCTGGCTCAGGTAGAGCCCTCCTCAGCTGGAGGGAGGGTCGCTGAGACATGGCGAGTGGAGAGAAGTGCCTTCCCCCATGACATTGCAAAACTGCTTGCATCTTCCTGAGCGTCTGAGCCCAGAGAGCAGCCTGAGCGCTTTTGAGAACGAGGGGAATCTATGGCTGTCGGGTCTCTGGGACTTGAGTCCCTGTTTCCTTCCAGGGATGGAGGGAGCTATAGAAATATACAGGCAAAAGGAGCTCACTCACCCCCTTGTCTGGAGTCCTTGCTACAGCCGGTGCCACTCCTAGTGTATCGAAGAGGCACATCTGCCACCTAGTGGCTGTTTGAGAGAAATCAGGACACAAACCACCCGGCTTGTCTCATGGAGACACATCAGAAATCTCCCTCTTGAATGGGGCAGGTTTATGTTGGCACTGAATGGGTCTCCTGGTGCCCGTGAAGGAGTCCTGCTGAGTTCATATGGAGCTGTAATCCGTTTGCAGAATCCCTGAGGCTGTGGGGCTTAATGTCTCTCTGTTTTTCTTCTCCTTTCCCTCCCCCCACTTCCTTAATAGGTTCTGCAATCTGCCAAAGAGCAAATTAAATGGTCCTTATTAAAGTGAACGTCCCAGAGGAGAGCGCCTGGATCTTCCTGATTGGATGGGTCTGAACCGCGACGGCAAATGATTCCTCACCTTATTCGATTAGCCGTTTGCAAATTGGCATGAAAAGTCTGATAAAAGCTTTGGGGTAGGATGCAAGATGGCTGACATGGGCCGTGCCTCCTGGGGGAACTCCAGCCTTTCACGGACACTGCTTTAAACCCGGTCTCAGTGCCATGAAATTCTCTGCATGCTAAAGGGGAGGGTTGGGGTTGGGAGAATTGACTGGTTAACAGACCAAATTCTGCTCCTTAAACCAGTGTAAATGTGGAGTGACGTCAATGGGGTTAGTTCAGGTGTAACTGAGAGCAGAACCTGGCCCAAGATCCATAAAGAATGACAGAACTCCTCAGGAATGAATAGGAGGGTTGATCATTTGTATTTACACCACCTAAAGCGCTGCGTGAGAGTCAATTACAATTTGTTTGGTATGAGCAGAGCCAGAACATACTATAGTTGAATCTTCAGTTTCACCAGTAAAGAGCTGGCTGCTTTTTTTGCGGGGCTGTCACTAGTGCCTGTACCCTTGTTGATGCAGCGAGCCAATGCTTGCTTGCTGCTCAGTGAGGGTTGAGCCTGAGACTTTCAAAACCATAGGAAGGGATTTGCTTGCCCTTTTCTCATTCAAACAGCTGGGGCTTGGGCATCCAGGTCCCCCTAAGCTCTTTGGAATATCTCAGCCACGTCCAAAATCTCTTCCGCTGTCTCCCAAGGCAACCAACGTTTTGATCCCTTTTGGGGATGGCCAGGCCTGTGCAGAGGGTCAGCATGAAGTAAGTGCCACTGTCTCGTCCTCTCACGTGCAGGGTGGAGATGAGTGCACAGGAATCATTGTCACCCTGTCAGAGTAAGATTCAAAACATCCCAATGATGAGCACTAATAACCCCCCCTCCCCAAAATACCCTCTTACAAGGCGCTTTTCATCAGTAGATCTCAAAGCACTTTACAAAGGAGGTCAGGTCATTATACAGATGGGGAAACTGAGGCACAGAGCAGGGCAGTGACTTGCCCAAGGTCATCTAGTAGGCCAGTGGCAGAGCTCGGAATAGAATCCAGGTCTCCTGAGTCCCAATCCAGCACTCCAGCCACTAGGCAGTACTGCCTCCCTCGTGCAGTTTTGGCTGTTGTTAACTTTGTAAAAACAATCCTATTGCAAATAGCTGTCGGCTCAAACATCATTAAAGGACCCAGCTATGGGAAAAATCCTATTTCCAGAGCTATCATTTCCTTCCCTTTAACACCCCAGATTATCAATAGCAAGAAAAAAATGAAAATCGAATGAAGGAGAATTGGCTAGCTGTGTGATACTTACCTCATCAAGGGCTTGGTACGTTTCAATCCACTTCTGTAAACTGGGCATGCCCAGCTTCTTTTATGATCAACAAATAAAGTTTTATAGCACATGGGTCATTTTTCCCGATTGGTCTCTCCTGTCTGTAATGCACGTGGGTGCCTGTGTGCTCCTATTAGTGTACCATGCAGAATTAAGACTGTCACTTTTTCCATTACAGGGCTTGATTTTTTGAGGGGTTTATAACTCATCCATTAAAATCACTCTGGATGCAGGCACAGCGTCAGCCTGGGCCGTGTCTATTTTTGTTAAATGTTTTTCCTTCGGTGGCAGCCGTGCTCCCGAGGAGCCTGCATTTGTTATCTTTGCAGTGAACTTCTGCACCCTGCGGCTTCATACCATAGCTTTGAGGGGGCTGAAATATTTATTTTACTTCGGGACAGCAGATTTGTTTCATGGCCTAGTGTACATGAAAAACGGTCCATTCTGCCTTCAGCCCGCATGGCTGCTGCGTGTGTTCTCACAGCACTGTAGGACCAGGCGTCTCTCTGAGAAAAGGGAACAGCGGGTGATTTTTCATCCGGAGCTGCTAGAAGCAGCTCAGATCAAATGCATAAGTGTTCTAGGGTGACCAGACAGCAACTGTGAAAAAACAGGACAGAGCCTGGGGGGTAATAGGCACCTGTATAAGAAAAAGTCCCAAAAAACAGGACTGTTCCTATAAAAATGGGACATCTGGTCACCCTAAAGTGTGTGGGGGACTATCTTTTCACATCTTGCTCTTTAGCGGGGGCAGGAAACATGTCTGGAGTGGACCCAGGGTGACAGAACGAATTAATGCAGCATGGCCTTGGCAAGGTTCCAAACTGGGTGACCAGATAGCAAGTGTGAAAAATTGGGACAGGAAGGAGGGGCAATAGAGTCCTATATAAGACAAAGCCCCTAATATTGGGACATCTAGTCACCCTAGAGCCAAGAAACTTCTGATGAAGTGAGCTGTAGCTCACGAAAGCTCATGCTCAAATAAATTGGTTAGTCTCTAAGGTGCCACAAGTACTCCTTTTCTTTTCACTCTGTTGGGGGTGGCTTCTAGGAAATTCAGACCTGGCTCCTCATCTCTTGGGAACATCATGCACCTGGCTGGCCTGGGCTCCCCCAAAGATCTTCGGGTAAAGCCAGAGCTCTCTTTAATCACGGCTTGATTTCTCCTCCGTTTGTGACGGTCCCTAACGCCTCGGCTTGGGACTGTCTCTTGTTCCCCACTCCCTCGCATGAGACAGAACCTTTTCACAACCCCGCCCCTAGCCACTTGAGACTCCGCCCACAGTCCCACTTAGCCCCGCCCCCGCGGCTCCCCATTCGTGATCCTGCAGCGCCACCTGCTGGCGGAAACTGGGATGGCAATGTTCAGGGACCAAACCCCGTCTTTAGAGCCTCAAGCGCTCCCAGTCTCCATCCCTACCCTCCACCCCCAACTTCATCTTTTCCCCATAGCCCCCCCGCCCCAGACCCCCCAACTTCACCCTTTTCCCCATGGCTCCCCCCACCCCAGAACCCCCAACTCCACCCTTTGCCCTGTACCCCTTCCAGCCTCACAGGTCCCTTTAGCCAGTCTCTTTGCCCACTCCCAACCTGCCAGGCTCACTACGCCTGCCCCAAAGCCCTGCACTCCCTTGTCTCTAGCCCCTCCTAGTCCAGAGGGCTTAACTGCCTGCTCCTCAGGCCCCAGCCCCATTTCATCCTCTCAGTGCCCCCACCCCCAGCACCAGCCATTCACTCTGGGGCCTTTGCTCCACTTTCCCAGGTGTGGGAAGGAGACATGAGGGTCTTGGCTCGTCACAGAGATGCCCCCCACCCCCAATTGCTGGCCTGTGTATCCTGAAGACTGGGAGGGGAGGGGGTTAAATTCCCCAGAAAATGTCAGTGGCCCAACATTCACAAGCAACCCTACACTAACAAACCAGTGCACACAGACCAGCCTGGGGGGTGACCCTACACTAACAAACCAATGCACACAGACAAGCCTGTGGGGGTGGGGGGGAGGGGAGCGAGCTTATAATAACAAACCAGTTCACACAGACTAGCCTGGGGAAGGGTGTGGCCCAACAATAACAAACCACTGCACACAGCCCAGCCTTGGGGGTGACCCAACAAAAACAAACCAGTGCACACAAGACAAACTGGGGAGCAGGAGGGAGTGACCCTACAATAACAAACCAGTGCGCACGGCCCAGACTTCAGGGAGACCCTAAAATAAGCCAGTACACCCAGCACTCATCAGCGACCCTACAATAACAAACCAGCACATCCCTCCCAGTGCCTGTGGGTGTAGAGGGATACTTGAGAACTACTTTGATGAGCCTCCTGTAAAAGTGTGTCTGGCTGGACGCTGTTGCGGGCAGGTGCCGAGCAGCAGCAGCAGCAGCAGCAGACTGGGGGGCTCTCTGACCAGCTGGTCCCCACAGTGGCCGGAGCAGAGCCTTTGCCTAGCTCAGACCAGCATTCTCATCCGCAGGTCGGCACTCGCAGGGACACCACGCTTCGAGAGCCCCCTCCAAGGCAGGGCTAGGGGACTTGGGTTACAGATGCTGCTTCTCAGGGCCTCTGCTGGGTGAGGGCTGGAGGGGTGGGGGACTTTCCTCTTGTGGTTACCAGCAGCATTGTCCCCCTGGGGCTGTGACCTCCTTGGGAGATTCCAGCAGCTCATTCCCTCTGGCCCCTGCCCCTGGCAGGGAGTGAGGAAAGAATCTTCTCTTCCTCCTGCCTTTTCTGCAGCCAGCCAGCCAGCCAGCCAGCCATCCTTTCTTTCTTTCTTTCTTTCTTTCCTCAGATCCCCCCTCCAGCTGCCTCTGACGTGCCAAAGATGCCAGCGACCGTCCCTGACAAGATGGCTCTGCCCTGCAAAGCATCTGCCATGCAAGCCTTAGCCTGTACAAGGCAGAGGGCCGCTGGTATAAATTCCACGGCCCAGTGGCTTAAGGGGCTGGGGTCAGGGTTAGGGAGTGCAGGGTCTCTGGAACCACATTCAAAATCCAGCAGGACCCTTCGTCCTTGCTAGGCAGACATTGCTTTGCGCCGTCATTAAAGATGCAGGGCACTTTATGGAAGAGGAGGGAAGGGTCTGCCCCAGTGGCGGTGGGGCTGTATGAGGAATGATTTGGGGATCACTCAGAGCATTAAGGGTTCTGTCACCACCTGCCCTGTAATTTTGGGTGTCTTAAAGTGACGCTGCTTTGGCTCAGAGCCCTGACACCGGTAGCCAGCCCACAAACATACAGGTCTCACCTCGGCTTCCACCAACCTACTTACTCCTTTCAGGGTCACTCTACCAGCCCTTCCAGTTGCAAGTCTTCCCGAATCATCTCCCCGAGGTTGCAATTACCAGACACGCGGACTTTCCCCCTCTGGTTCATCACTCCCGAAGGAGAGAACCCTGCCTATCAGCTCAGTTTGTCACACACAATCCGCACTGTTTGCACAGCAGAGACCTGGGGGTAAAAATAAACAGAAGGTATAATGAAAAACCGCAGACTCAGAGCTGAAGTAATGAGGGAGAGCTACCACAGACAAGCCACACAGAAAATACACATACGGACACAACTTTAGGCTTTCCACTTCTCCACTAGCTAAATTCCCTTTTCTAATAGGAGATACTTATTGCCTCTGGACAGTTTCCCAGTGTACCCATCATAGAGGGGACCAGCGTTTCACAAACAGGGCCCTGCCTAGATGCTGGCTCTCGGTTTCTGGTTATGCTTTACATCAAACCCCTTCTCTTTTAAAACACTTTGCCATTCTTTTCCTTTCACTCAGACTATGGTGATTCATGGTGGGGGAAATTCCTGCCTTTCCAGCAGCCTGGGCTTGAAATGCTTCCATTAGCATAGATAATCCACCTCCCCAAGAGGCAGTAGCTAGAAGAATTCTTCCACTGACCTAGCGTTGTCTACACGAAGACTAGGGTTGGCTTAACTATGCCACTTGGGGTGTGTGGATTTCTCACACCCCTGAGTGAGGAATTTATACTGACCTAATTTTCTAGTGTAGACCAGGCCTTAGTTTTCCAAGACTGGGGTTTTCTTTTCAGTTTCAAGTTGTTTCCATGTTTTCCCATTATCTCTAATGGTCTGCCATTGTCCCTCCCTGGCTGGACAATGGATGGGTACTTGAAGTTACAGAGTAACAGCCGTGTTAGTCTGTATTCGCAAAAAGAAAAGGAGTACTTGTGGCACCTTAGAGACTAACCAATTTATTTGAGCATAAGCTTTTGTGAGCTACAGCTCACTTCATCGGATGCATACTGTGGAAACTGCAGAAGACATTATATACACAGAGACCGTGAAACAATACCTCCTCCCACCCCACTCTCCTGCTGGTAATAGCTTATCTAAAGTGATCACTCTCCTTACAATGTGTATGATAATCAAGTTGGGCCATTTCCAGCACAAATCCAGGTTTTCTCACCCTCCGCCCCCCCCCCCCCAAACTCACTCTCCTGCTGGTAATAGCCCATCCAAAGTGACCACTCTCTTTACAATAAGAAAAGGAGTACTTGTGGCACCTTAGAGACTAACCAATTTATTTGAGCATGAGCTTTCGTGAGCTACAGCTCACTTCATCAGCTGTAGCTCACGAAAGCTCATGCTCAAATAAATTGGTTAGTCTCTAAGGTGCCACAAGTACTCCTTTTCTTTTTGCAAATACAGACTAACACGGCTGTTCCTCTGAAACCTCTCTTTACAATGTGTATGATAAGCAATGTGGGCCATTTTCAGCAAATATCCAGGTTTTCTCACCCCCCCCCTTTTTCCAAAAACCACACACACAAACTCACTCTCCGGCTGGTAATAGCTTATCCAAAGTGACCACTCTCCTTACAATGTGTATGAAAATCAAGGTGGGCCATTTCCAGCACAAATCCAGGTTTTCTCATCCCCCCCCCCCCCCCCAAACACACACACACAAACTCACTCTCCTGCTGGTAATAGCTTATCCAAAGTGACCACTCTCCCTACAAGGTGCAGGATAATCAAGGTGGGCCATTTCCAGCACAAATCCAGGTTTTCTCACCCCCCCCCCCCCCACACACACACACAAACTCACTCTCTTGCTGGT